GCACTGTGGAATTAATGTCTTTCCCATTAACGCAGTTGGAGTAGTTAGAATAGTAGTTGGAGTATTGTTATTAGTACTAGAGATGGTAGTATTATACAAGACCAGTGAAGACCAAAATTGAATATTTAAAATTCACTGAACAACTTTGCGTACGTTCGTGCAGTAGACAATGAGCCACACCTACTGTGGTAAGGTTATTGATACTATCTGCCTGTGAAAGCTCGGTGGGTGAGGCTGCGTTCGAAACCATGACCCCTCCATCCGAAGTCAAATGCGTAGACCAAGGAGCCACAGCTATACACCATGAAGGCTGACGATGCTCCCTAGGGAAACGAAGTAGTAAAAGACTACTAACTAATTTTCAAGGCTCCCAAGTGACTGAATGCCAACTTTTGTTACTTTTCTCTACGAGATAGTACTCTGTCATCTATATCTGTTTTCACAAGCAGCACACATCAAAATGGTAGTAGTAGTAGTAGTAGTAGTAGTAGTAGTAGTAGTAGTAGTAGTAGTAGTAGTAGTAGTAGTAGTAGTAGTAGTAGTAGTAGTAGAGATATTAGAGTTGACTGTGAACATGACGTTGATTTTATTCTTTTAGACCTTCACTTTCCTAGGCTCTGGATAGCTTATATACCATTCCCGTATGGTGTTGTTGAGACTCAAGTTGATGTCGATGGTGACTTAAACCAACCTCTTCAAACAGTAACTCCTAAATGATAACGGGTAATGTATTATTATTATTATTAGTCCCTTGGGTTCCTATGGAACATAGGGCTTCACTAGCACGTCTCCAGTCAACTCTGTTCTCTGAAATCTTTTGAACCTGGCTCCACGACAGCCCAGAAGCTCTCATTTCCTCCTCGCACGACCTCCTGCATGTCACCCTCACCTCGAACGTCCAACTCATAGCTTCCCATGGGGATTCCACTCAAGCAACTGGCCTGACAAGTGATGTCCCCAGTCGGCCTTCTCAGTGTATGTCCAATCCATCTCCACTTCCTTCCAGTGCATATTTGTTGGATGATAGCTTCTCGGTTGGTTCGTTGCCAGCCACAGTGAGTTCCTTGTTGCTTATTCTTTCTGGCAATCCATCTGATCTTCAGTAACGAGGCAGCGTAAGCAGTTGTTGATGAATGTCTGTAGTTTATTGGAAATGCCTTTCGTGACGCGCCAAGTCTCTCAACAATCACACAGAAGCACTGACTTGACTGGGTTGGTGTTGAAAATCCGTATCTTGTTCCACATGCCAAGTGCAGAAGATCTCCACACTGATTTCAGGCTAATGAACGCCTGTCTTGCTTTTCCGATTCTGACTTTGACGTCCTCGTCCGTCCCGCCTGTAGTTGAAACAGTGCTTCCTAGATAGGTGAAGGAGGTTACTTCCTTTAAGTTTCTCCCGTTGATGGTGACTGGAGTTTGTTGTTGTTGTTGATGGTGGTGGTGGTGGTGCGGTATCTTCATCACCTCTGTCTTCTCTATATTCACCTGAAGTCCCGTCTTAGCTGCCTCTTCTATCAACTTGTTAGTTTTTGCCTGCAGATCTTCAAGTTTGTGTGACATTAGGCATAAGTCATCGGCGAAATCCAAGTCTTCTAGGTTCTTTTCCGCAGTCCAGTGTATCCCCCTCTTCTCGCTCCCCACTGTTTGCTGCATGATCCAGTCGACCACAATAAGGAATATCATGGGTGATAGTAGGCAGCAGCCTTGTTTCACTCCTGTCTTCACTTCGAAAGCATCACTGAGCTTCCCATTGTGAATTACTTGGCATGTGGCGTCTTCATATAGTTGTAAGTAATAATAATACAAACTTAAATCGAATATGATTTCCGGTTGATATTTAAGCGTATAACCGCAGGCCAAGAGAACATCATGCATATTCACCTGACTATAAATAATAACACCATCCAGTTCTGTATTTATCTTAAGTGTTCATATACTTATAATAGACAGTAGTATAGCAGCTTCAGTAGTCGACATAGTTTAAAACCTCAAAAACCTTGTTATATCTATATTGCCGAAATCTATACTTCAACTCTTCACAAATGAATATAACAAACGTGTATAACAATATGTCTGGATCTTACCTTTGTGAATTTCCTGTGGAATTTATCTTCCACTGAAATATCAGTACTGTTTAGAGTTCCATGCTCTTTCAAAGTAACATCCCATCAAGGAATTGTTATAGAAATATACCAAACCTTGGAGTAATGGCTTTATGAACTGATATCTTTTTAAAGATAAAAACAAAGTTTCTAACACTTGAAGCAGATATATTATCAGTTGAACTTCAAAAATTGATCGTAAATTAGAACTTCTAGGGATCCAATCAAAATGAGTCAAAAAACTACATATTCTACTTATTCGACTGTATCGCTTTTAAAATGTTGAGCAGACCTTGGAAAATGCACATGGCTTCATTGACTGTGTTCATGAGTCTTATAACCAACTAAACTGTAAACAGAGTACACAAAATATGTGTTTAGATAAAAAGGAAACAAGAATGAAAAAACAGACATCAAATATTTTGAGTTCGTTCCTGCTTATGAATTAAAGACGAGTGAAAGGAAATAAAACCAAGGGATAGGAAATAAACTTGATTGAGTATCACATCATAGAAATGATGAGAGTTGAAGGGGACGGAAGTTACATGAAAGGCTTCCTATTTATCAGTTTATGGAACCTCAATTATATTCAGTGCAAGCACTTCAAGGGGCACTTTATAACCAAACAAGTTGTAAAAAGTAAGATCTGATAGAACTTTTAAACGATACCTTTCATTCAAGAGTATATCATTTGCGCTGAAGCAGAATACAATTCTACGTCACTTCATTTACCTACCACACCAGTGAATCATACGTTACTACTTACCGTCTTTATTTAAAGGACTAATATCCTAGTGAATGTGGCTTTTAAGACAGCCATAAATGAGCTCATCATTGATTATGAACTCATTGATCAAGGTTGTGTTCGTTGTAGAAACCATGCTACAGCTTCAACTATATGTGACATCTACAATCTTCGAATTTCTAGAAGAAATACACCCATAAATGGAGAAATCAGTGACGGGATCTCAAATATTTACCATTCTAGCAAGTATATTGAGGGAAAGATGGAAACAAATGGCAGTAGAAATATTCTGAATCACCCAGAAGCATAGTGTAGATATGCAGATGATACATCTACGATTTTCTTCAGACAAAATTATTAATAATTGAAATCTGAGAAAACAAATGAAGAGAAAATGTTAGCTTAGATGGTACTGTTTACAGGAAAGCATTTCATCCTTCATCTACCAAAGTGGGCTTGGAGCGGTGTCTAACCAATCTAAGCAGTGCTCTAGCCTAGAAATCAGAATTTCTAAATAAAGAACTCAAACTTATTAAGGGAGGTTACCACCTAATGGTAACCAACGTTGTAACCTTCTTAAGTGTTTTGTATGGTTAAGTAATTAAAAGCCTCTGCTGTGCTGCAATATGAAGATGGGATATTGCGAAACTCGTAGCCTAGATGAGATCATGATGTTGTCTAAGCAATAAACCTCACTCAAAGATAAACTTTGGAGGCTAAAGGACCCAACCCGGTCCATCCAGTTATGTGGAATAATCTAACCCATGAATTATCATGTAATAACTTAAGATTTAGTTCATGTGTCAAGGTAACCTACTGAAGGTCAGTCAGAATATCAAAAAGTAGCAATTTAGAGAAAGAGAATGATGGGCTCTACTTAGATGAGCAATCTAAAGGAAAGTACGGCTATTAACAAGCATCTAGTGACTTAATATTACACTATAGAATAGGACAGAATGACAGTTCCGAAGTCTAATATAGTTAGGCGGAGGAAGAACCTCAACAATAAGTCGATGCCGATCCAGTCAACACCTAAGAAATGTAGCAAAAATGGTTCACCGACCATTACACATATCTCAAAAATTCTACCAACAGTAAAATTCAAATAATTAAATGTTGTTGGATTACAAGAAAATAAGTTTGAGAGTTGTGTAGCTACCTTTATATGGTTGTCAACCATGGATTTCCCCAGAAAAACGATCTAGAAACTAACACTGTGTCAGTTTTCTTTTTTAAATAAACTGACTGGATATGGAAAAGGTCATCAAGGTGGGCCAAATGCATGTTTCCCCAATCAGTTCCAATATACAGCTATGCTATGTTCTACACGATCTAATTAAATACAATAAAGTAACTGAGTGTGTCTAGGTGTTTCGGTCATTTAAGGGGTCCGATTGAGCATAGTGAGCCGATTGATGACTTTAATTATGCATGGGATATGGAACTTGATGCTGACATTCTGCTGAATGTCTGTCCAACTACTGGGGTCATGTTAAGAACCAAAGTTTTCTTTGTTCTGAGATAAAACTACAAAACTTGTTTTTATGATAGAAAATGATGAATAGTTGATCAATAATATTCTCATAGAATTTCGTTCTTTTATTTGAGACCCAAAAGGAAGAAATTTGAAGACACGCTACATGTGCTTAAGCAGTGGAGAAAATCCAGTTGATCATGTGGTGAATTTGCATTAAGTGCGATGGTCGCTGCAAATCCTACGTGTATCTAGTCACTTAGCCTGATATATTATCTAAAGGTTACACATTAAGAAAGAATTCACAGTATGATTTTATCGGAATATATCATTGTTTTACAGATTCTATAACAGTATGAGAGACTGTAATCATTCTAGTTATGGCCATCATGGTGGGAACAATCAGTGCTTGAGTTTGAATAATAATACGACATACTGTCAATATCAGTGACTTAGGTATTTTCCAGAGTTGTTTCGCTCGTAAAAGGGACAATTTTGCAATCCTTGAAACATTTTCTCTAACTTCTCTCATTACCATATTCTTACTACTAAACTAAGTTCAGCGAGTTATGTCGAAATTTAGGAAGCGGTAATGCTATGGGATAGGGTTAGCATCTATTTTTATTCATATCAATCAGTTGAAATGACCGGAAAAAAACCACTTGTAAATGCATCTTACCTTCTCAGACTGCGAATAATTATCTGACTGAAAGCACAATAGTGGCCCGCCACTGTCGCCTTGACATGTATCACCATCGACATATCTCCCACCAGCGCACAAGTAACTATGAGGACACTTCTCGCCAACAAATGGATTAGCTTTGCTCGTTTTGCACGATTTAAATGATTCATACTGCTGGTGTTTTCCCGCATCAGCTTTTTTCTTACTCATCTTCTCTTCTAATTCCATTCTCTCCCATAACTTATCACATGGTTCAAGATGTAGAAACGCAACATGAAAATCTAAACTAAATAAAATTAATCAGTTACAACTTCGTGCTATTGATGAACTTATACAGTTATCTGGATTTGAATTTTCATGATATTTTAAATGGCCAACACCAGCAATTAGACATGTATACTTTGGATTATTCACCAGTAAATTATCATCCGTCACGAAATACCTTCTTAAGTCTACAAAATCTTGTATATCATCCGTGAGTGATTCAATAATTGGATGTTTAAGTTTTAGTAGAGCAATATCTGGTGATAAACTTTGACCTTGAGTGAAATTTGAATGAATGATCAATGTTTCAATTGACCTAGCAATGTCGCCAGGTTTAAATTGTATTGACGAATCATCATTGTACTGAGTTAACTTGGTCACTTGTAGGTTGTTAAAATTACTTTTAAATAGGAAGACAAAGGGTATATAAAGTACTGGTGAGAAAATCGATCTTACTTTAGAAATGGACTGATACAGTGAGCTGCAGTTAGAACCCAATCGTAATTAATAAGTAATCCACCGCAAAGATGCCTTGGTTTTATCGCTTTGAAGCGTTTAAAAGCATAACGTATTGAAACAAAGCGATCGAGAAGAAATTGAATTAGACTGTTTGGAATTTGTATAGAGTAGAAAAATGAGCTCTGTGCAGTTTCTCTATTATTCAAGGTTTCGTCCTTAGCTGATAGATGGGATTCAGAACTTTCATAGGGTTGACCACTGTCTGGCTGACTGGTTATTCGAATCATATCAGGCTTCATGAAATCCACTCTCCCATATTGATTGAAAATCAGTCGGAAACCTCCAAAATAACAGGTTGAATGTTGAGTTGACGATCACAATTTATAATATCTGTAAAGTTATGAAACCGTTTCTTCACTAGTTAGTTTGTAATTATAACAAGTTGTATTTTCAGGGTGTACTTTATGATTCAACGAGCTCATCTGATTATTCATTGAAAGTCAAGTACCTCTTGAATTGACAGCTTTGTCTTGATTTCGAATTGCTGGTGAGTTACAGAAGTGAATATTCTCACATTTAGTCTGGGTATGAAAAACTTTACGTTTAACAGTAATCCATACATCAGTAACTGATTACTTGAAAAAATAACCATCTTGACTGTGAAGTAGACAGTTTCCAAAGGCGTGTGAAAATGACTGAACTAAGTCATGATTTTACTGAAAATGGAAAATCCTGAATATACGCATTCTGGCACATTATTTCTACATAAAACAATCTTTATAGGACTCGAATATTTTCCATTTTTCAAGTAGTTTTAAACTAGAACACTTTGGTTGTAAAATACCTTCTTGTTCAGTTTTCAATAGTCTCTTAACTGATTTCAATCAATTCAACTGCTTATAAGTGATAACTTGGATATCAGTTGACCATCTACTAAGTTTAGTGACCAGTTCACTTATCAGCTATGAGAACAGTTTGTCTGTTGATCAAACATTCTAAAGATAGGTAGAAGGTGCAACATTAAAGAACAGTAAAAATACAAGAACAATTTTTTTCTTGAAGTAAACATGCGTAAGACAGTATAGGTATTGCTTATATAAGTATGACTATTAAAACATTGTCTCAGAATTCCATATCGATATAATTTCCAAATAAACTACACAATGGAAAAGTGAAATCTATTGGATAAATTTTCAGACGTAAATCATATGTCGATATTTATATCAAGACATATGTGTAGTGTATTTAAAAAGCAAGCTAACAAGGTGGTCAAAGTCCACTGGCATTCAATTTCCCAGTAGAATTGTTATAGGTTACTTTTGATAATTAGTAGATAAATCACTTTTTCAGTATCGAGCATACCCTAACCTGTATGAAAGAATACTTAACTGTGGAATAGAAGTTGTTGAATAATTGTAAGAACCTTCAGTAGGAAGAATGTTTCAACCTTCTTTAGGTCAAGGCCGAAAGTACAAACTTGGAGTTAAAACCTGTAACCTACATCAGGATTGAAACAGCACACATTTTCTGTCTTAGCTATTTTGTGACGCTTTTGCTCAGAATTCAAGAAATATCTTGAGGATCGAACTTCTTACAGAAAGAATGGTAGGTTTGACACCATCAAATCCTTCAGTTGAGGATCATCAGGAACTAATCACTAATGAGATGAAGCAGATCGGAGCGTACTATTACAGACTAACATCTCAGTGCAGCATATATCTAATATCAAAGCGTTACAATTATCAGTAATAAAATACTTAGTATATAGACACTAACACTGTACTGTCTCACCTAGTTTTTTAGAAGATTTTAACTAAGTTAAAGGTTCGTTCCACTGCATTATCTCCCTTGTTCAGTTCTAAAGGTAAATGGATTATTCAGACTCCCAAACTTCACCAATACACGAAATCAGTGAAGAAATACAATCTACTGCAGAAGACAGTTGTTTTCCACCTATCAAACGGCATTAAGTACACGAAACTAGCTGCAACCAACTGCTAAGATATCTAAAAGGAAAAAATGGATTTCACAACAATTTAACTGCGAAGCCAGAGAAAAACTAAACTTCTAAAAGTGATCGAGGTTTTGGAGTCAGCCCAGAGTTTCCCCATGCTTTCAGATACTCTTTGCTGACGAGTACAAACAAGTTAACAATAAACCTAGATTTAAACCGTTTTATCGTTTGGCTGCTAATACCTAACGACAGAATACAGTGCATCACAGTGTCATATCACTTAACTTAGTGGCCAAACTGAAAACTTGACTAATAACTTTCTATCATTGCTGAACACCAAAGAATTGAAAGCTACATCCATTATCACTTAGTAATCGACTTCCATTCTATATTCTTTAGAAAACTGTTTAGGCTTGCGCAGCTGTAAAACTCGTTAGAAGCAAATTAATTTTTGGGATGATAAATGCAAAGCGGGTAGATTAAAAACATATGGCAGAAACACCAATGATAGGATATATAAGACAGTAATTTACTAACTATTCAAAAAGTGATTAGTCAGTTCTCCAACATATCTCCACATCAGGTCCATGACAATTACACTCAGCAATTCATAAAGCAAATTATTCCAACTTGCTCCTTCTCTTTACAGAAAAACAAATATAAAATGTTGAGTGAGATATAGGCCTAGTTTTTTTTATTAAAAGTGAACTACATTGCCTGCAAAAATTCATATACACGTCCTAAGTCTTTTTATTAGGAAGTTTGAGTGAAAACAGCCACATTAGGTAAAACCTTCAGGGACTGATTCCATTTTAGTCTGTTTATTAGAAATGTCACACAATGAAACAGTATCATTTACTGGATAACATTTTGGACACGATTTATTGTCTATATTCATATCATATCATTCATATCCGTATCATATTATATCACACCTGATATGAATATAGACAATAAATTATGTCCAAAACGTTATCCAGTAAATGATACTGTTTCACTGTCTGATATTTCTAATTAATAGACTAAAATGAAAATACAACCAACCACAGTGCCCGTTTTACTCCTATATTCAAAGACTTATATCTTGTTTTCATGAAAAAATGACAGGAAAGGTTGAGAAGAACTGATAAAATCCAAGAAGTTGAAAAACCTTTCGGATTAAAAGTTAGAGTATATTACAGAATAAGTCAATGAAACAATAATAGACATATTAATGAAGGAGATTCTTTACAGTAAATTATTATCCAGTTGACTAGTGATTCAACTCTGAGAAACTTCAACAGCGTTCATCTACCAGTTCATTTTCTTTTGAAAGTAAAATCAGTAATTTCATACACTTTCTTGACATGTTAATGAAAAAAAAGATGTCTCCATAGAGAGAAGGATGTATGCAAACAACCAACTGAAGCACAGTATTCACGTTTTATCAGCGACGTTCCAGTGACATCTCCGAGCCTTTAGAATAAAGCCAATTTACTTCAACGAATCTGGAGAAAAAGAACTGATGTGCTTCCATGATATTTTAAGCGAAAATGGAGATCCTGAAAACTTCATCAAAGTAAACGTTGTTTACATTAATCTCAAACAAGATTTGAATATAATGGAGAATAAATCTCTGTTTCTGTGAGTACAATACTGCGGAGATACTCTAAGTGACATCTTCTGACAGCACCCAACCAGAACGGTAAATATAACGGCTCAATTTGAGGGTTTGTAGGGATTTAATGATTTTTCAAGTTAGTATTCATCATGGACTGACATCAGTTGAAGGAACACTGAAAACCTAGGGGCACTAAGTAGCTGTTTCTTCCTAGTATGGGACTCCTTAGCAGTGCCCACCCATGACCTCACCTCATCAGGGATTGAACCCAGGACCTTCAGGCTGTGTGGCCAACATGTTACCACTGAGTCACTGAATCGGACTCCAATGATCCATATTTCCTACTTCTGTCAGTCCACGACACAGTGCCACCATTACCCATTGTCATCGTTGAGTATTTGTCCTCACAGCCACCAGGTTTGCCCCACTGGTCACGACTTCTTATTGGTACTCCAGGAACCAATGAGCACTAGACCAATTGAGTTTGGGGGTTTGTGGGGATTTAGTGATTTTTCAACTTGTCATTCACCATGGACTCAGGCTGTTTTTGTATGCCTGTCTCCAGTCGGTCAGCTCTCGGTCCGAGACAAAAAATACCTTACAAACTCTCAGCTCCTCATTTTTATATATCATTTCAACTGTTACTGCGGAAAACGTTTCGCTAAGTGTCCGATTAGGCAAGTGCATCTCCGGCTGCGATAGAATTAGCTGGCGTGGACTGGAGTAAAGGAATTGGAATCGGTAAATAGTTCAATCTTAGTCTACCGGGTCGACGTATAGTGTGAAGCATAGTCGCTAATCAAGCTTTATTTGTCATACAAGGCGTTCCAAAAACATTAGCGTAGGCAGCTAATCAACACCTTCCAAAAAAACTGATGTAGTAAATGCTGAACTATACATTCAGAAAGAACGCGTTCAAATGTTGCTCTTCCCTTGGCCTTCGGTAAACTGAAATATATTCTCAACTTTTTTGCTTCTTGTCTTTCATCATCATGAATATAAAAAGAAAACTCACTTTCCCCTCAGTCCCTAGTTCATTTCCAAAATGTATTTGCATTAAACTTGGCCTGTTTTCATGCTGAATAATTCCACTTGGTAACGGTAGAACCTGATTAGAATTTATTGGAAAGAATATTATTCATTCATATTGTCTTATAAGACATTAGGAGAAGGATAAAAATTGGGAAAAACCTTTGTGAAGATCAGTAACACTAACTAGCATTTTGATGAGCATATTGTTGATATTTCAGAGTTTGAGAGTAGAGAAATATGCAGAAGTCTGTTTCACACTCCCGAGGCTTGAGTTTACAATGTTTTACAAAGAATATACTGTTCACTCTTTAAATACTTCGAGGTGCTAACTCAGTGCTCATCAGTAATCAGAATATTGATGAATTCCTAGTGATAACCGACGGTATGTGATATTAATTACGTCACGTTTGAGAACAGTTAAAAAAGTGAAACTGGATGATGGTCACACTATGTCATGAATTGACAGAAAACAGAAATTTGAGCAGATGAATACCGCCTGACCTGTGAACTAAAGAGTGATATGCTCGTCGTGGTCCTAGGTTCAGTCCTGTAGACAGTCAAGGATGCACACTGGTGAGAAGTTCTATGCCGGTGAAAAACAACTTTCCAGTGCCTCTAGGTTGACAACAGTTTCTTAGGTAATGTTGTTCCATGATTAGGACTTGTTCGAAAATAACCAACTCCCTTTTGACTAACCAGCTGGAAAGTTAGTTTAGTAATTTAAAAACTGAGGTAAATCATGCCAAAAAGGGGAGGAAGGACTATGTGAGAATGAGTAGCACTCTGGAGTGCATAGACCGAAGT